TGAGCCATTGCAAGCAGTGAGCTCCGTGGCCAACTACTTTAATCTGTTAAGTGCTCGGATTCAAACATGGTGTTTATTTGAAAAATATTGATTGTTCTACTCTTCTACAGTAATTAGATGGGTGCTGTACGAATTTAAGCTTATAATCGTAATTACATTTGAGTTTTCTTTACCTATCTTATTTATATTATCGTAATTATGTTCGAGCTTTCTTTCTATTACTGACTTTTCTTTATATTTACTGATAATTCACTACTATATCTACTACTACTTATATATACGGATCATTCAAATTCATCTATATTTGCTGCTAGATTGATGCTGAAGGCAATCACTCTGAATCACGTGAGTTAAACTGAGTAAAATTATGCTCATTTGAGGCCTTCAAAATTTGTTAACATTTTGCACCAATTTTTGTATTATAGTTAGAATACATAAAAATGATTGCTGAGTAAAAGAATAATAACTTTTTCACAATTGTTGTGATTTTAAAGCCTTATGAGTATGTGTCCCAGGAAAGGAATGTTGGTTTTAATGGGCTAATGTGATAAAAATACTGTAAATTACAGATTATTAATATTTCTACCATCCTGCAGTTACAAGGTCCACCAGCGGCCGAGCGGTAAAGTTGCTGAACACCGGTATCAGGGTTCGAATCGCGGCGAACGGGCTGGCTGCATGGGTGTTCTCGTGATTTTCCCCATATGTAACGTGCACACGAGCCAGTTTCTGTTCCTCCACGAAGGTATCTCTCCCTTTAACCCTTTGCGGCACAGTGTGTCCGATCTGGACACACCTAAAAATTTTCTTCTGTACGCACAGAAAAACTGAATGAAAAAGGATTTATAGGTTACTGTAGGTTACTCTGAACCTTCTTTATTTATAGTAGATGGCAGCTCAACACAAACCAGTCCATATATTTTAGCCATGTTTAGTTTTTTAAGACCCTCATTTTTCAAAGAAATCTTCCAGATTTTTTAGGGTATAAAGGAATTGTTTGAAAAGAAATTTCTGTTATTTTTTGGCTATATGCTAATCTCCTTATTCTATATTAGTTTTAAATTTTTACCTTGATATCTTGCCTAAAATCAAACGGCGAACCGTAGGTGTGCCGAGACCGGGCTCACCGATAATCTAGGACAACTGACAGTCTGTATTCTTTGTTTCTCCGCATCTCATCGGTCAATTCATTGACAACAATGCTCGTTTCAGCACTCGTTTCGAAGCTCTATTCAATCAGTATGTCCACTTTAAGCACACCAACAGAATTAAAAGATAAGTGCTATCTTCACAAAATTTTACTTGTGTTCTCCTCTAGGCCTAATTTGACTGCCTACCTTTTTTTTTTTTTTTTTTTTTTTTTTTTTTTTTTGTTTGTTTATCAAAACTCCGACTTAAAAAGGTACCGTGCCGGAAGAGGTTAAGCAGGTAGTCCTACAGTCCTTTCCCGTAATTAAATAAACCAACCTGCAGTTACAAATTAGCACCCGTAATAAGCTGTTATTTGTGAGAGATATGAAAAGAAAATTTCTAGAATGCTAATACATAAAAATATATTATTTATGCTTGCCTGTACTGCAGCTGTTAAAATATAATAAACAGTATTATGGAAAGTTATTCGTTTCAAGGTAAAGCGTGAAGGCTATTTATCTAAAGCGGTGCCTTCATGGAATCCCTTTTAAGGGAAACTTGCTTGTATTCATATCGCAGATAGAGGTGAAGCAAAAGCACCTAAGAAAATATAAGAAAATCCTTATAATCAAGATATCGGGCTTAAAAAAAATTATATTCAGTTAAATAAACAATTATTCTGTACTGTTAGCTATTATATTTTAGTGTAACAGTTATTCTGTAAAACGTTTTTCGCATATTAAATCTGTTGGTTTTAATCATCACGAATAAAATGAACGAATTGCCTCTCACATTAAACAGTATTTAGATCAAGAAACATTTTTTAGCAAAAAAAAAAAAGTTTGCACACGATTAGTTTAACTTTTAAGAGGCGTGAAAATATGCTACCTGTATATATGAAACTGTGAATATGCAAAATTGTTTTCTCGTCTGGTGTTTAACAACAGGCATATAAGTAACACAAACGTTTATTCATTTCGATCGAGGTTAATTGTCTTCTGTTGCATTAGGGGGTCCTTTTGAAAAACGTGAACTCTAAGAATCTCTTTCCAACAAACTATATTTAAGACTTAAACATTTTTATATGTAATTAGGACATCCCTTTGTTTCGCTAGTCTGATTGAACTGTCATAAAATTTAATAGTTATTCTAATATCTCTTTTTAGAATCTGGGCAGAAGCTCTTTTCACTTTCGTCTCTTCCCCGCCCCAAAACTCATCTGTTGTCCATATATGGCTCACGAACTAAAAATAGTAGATATAATTCTTCACTATTCTTAGATTTTTTTTCAACTGACAGTCATCCTGCTTCCCCCAGTCGTCTTCAGGTGGTAGACAACAGAACGGGCAGGCCTACTGTTTGTTTTCAAGTGTCTCTCTCTCCCAGATTCTTTTCTCCGCATAATAAATGAAATTATTATATTAGAAAGAATTCTATCACTGTGCACACGAGGTAATTGAGATTTAAAAAATAATCAACATTCTGGAAAGACGGCTCGAAAGGTGCTATTTTGGTTTAAATTCAGTAAGTATGTTAAATGGCGGTGTAATTCTGCACAAAGCTGCATGCTGGATATTTATTCGATCAGCACTTTTATGAAGGCTGAACTTTCTGATTTAAAGATTTCTTACTGCGAAGGGAATTCATACTTTTGCTGCTGTATTAACGAGTTGGAGGTAGATTGCTTTTAAAGATCATCAGAATTATAGAATAAGTCGCTGTTTAGACTAAATTTCAGTTACAGTAAATCATTATTTTCTTATCATGAAGCACTTTTATTTGTATGAAAATAATTACTGAACTGTATTATTAACGAAAGACAAATGTAATAATGGGCTTTTTTTTTTTTTTTTTTTTTTTTTTTTTTTTTTTGCTCGCATTCAATTCAAGTGCCGGGCAAAACATTGCTTTCTCTTTTTTGTCCCTATCATTCATTCTCGGACGTCTTGTGATCCTTGGGTTTTATTTGGAGATAATCCGAACGGTTCTGTGAACTTCAGATGAAGAACATCTGCATTAGACAGTAAAAAAGACATTTTGCAGTTTCCCATAAGAAATGCGATGAATGCATTTGACATCTTTTGTGATGATTTAAAAAAATACAGGCGACCCGTTAATCACGGTATATGTATGGAATGGTAAATAAAAGTTTTGTATTGCCATCCGTCAACTTTAAGATTTCAGTAACTTGTTGGCGAAAATACAGTTCTGTTACTAAATAAATAAAAAATAAAGATAAACCTTACAAAATAATATTGTTGTTTATAAGCAGTCTATTAATTTCTTCTTGAGAATAAAAAGCAATAAACTGTTGTACGTGTAGTGGTACGCGATTGCGAATTTTCAATTGCAGCTTTCTAAAAGATATCTAATTTCAATGTCTTGCGAATGGTTAAGTATTCATAAGACTGTCTATCTCCTCATTTGTGAAGTGATACGACATTTTAAGGATTACTTCATGTACCCATAGATGGAAACTGGCAAAAATTATACCAAATCAGGATAACTCCAACAATTCTCCCGCTGTCTGTGAAATAATTGGCCCATCAGCAGCCGAGCGGCAAAATCGCTGAACACTGGCAGTTCGGTCCGAGGTTCGAATCCCGTGAACGCGCTGGCTGCATGAGCGTTTTCGTGTTTTTCCCCATGTTTAACCAGCCAGTTTCCCTTAGAAAGTTCTCTACCGAAGGCATCTGTCTCGTTAGGCAAATAACCCTCGAGTGCTTTGCCGCAATCCAATAAACCAAACCAAAGTGTGAAATAATCTTTTAAACGAGTCTCATGGAAATAAGACGATCGCTAAAATCACGTATCACATTTGCACCATCAGAAAATGGAAGTTTCCAAAAATGCGGTGTTAAATAAAAATCATTATAAACCTATGTTAATTTTTCTCCACTATAACCTCGCCAACAAGGCCTTCTTTAAAGAAGATTCAGTGAAAAAGATCATTTTGCAAGAAAGCCAATAAATAGTTCACATCTCATTCACCCATCCGGGTAAACAATGTCAAATGTGGACAATTATTATTCTATACTGTTAACGGAAAGGAATCTAGATTCAGCTTCTGGATGTATATGGGTCTGTGTCTGAAAAGGATTAGCTTTGATTCTTGACATATTTGAGTCTGGACAGAGCTAGTGAACCTAAAATCTTTCGTCTGACGTCAAAGAAATTAATCATGTGATAGACTCATGCTGTAACGCGGGCTTTATACTGAACGGACAGCCACTGCTCTTCTTTATTTCCAGTAGTTTCTTGATCGCTTTAAGCAAACAAAGTTAAAAGTCTAGTCTTGTATCAGGATTTTCAAAAAAACTTCCAATGTCCCCCTCCAACTCACTTTTATGGTTAATAGTGTTCATCCACGTGGTTGTGTTGTTGAATACCTTGATAGTTAATATAATAATAGTGCGATATAATGAGCCAAATCTCGGGACATGAATCCTATACAGCACATCCGAGATGCGCAGAATTGTTCAGTGATTAAAAGAACCTTATTTCCACCCCTAACATTCCTTAATATTCTTGTAAAAAGTATGAAGGCTTGTGAAACTCTCACAGAGATTAATAATAACTTATATTCTTTACGCGTCTCTCTAAACCGTGCTGATTGTTGGCCTGGGCTTCCAAGAGCGATATATGATCATGAAATAAATACTCTTCCTTATTATTTTGCATTCATGAGATATAAAATACGCATTTATATTTTTATATATTTCGTTAAATTATTTGACGAAGTCTTAATCCTTTTTTTTTTTTTTTTTTTCTTAATTTTCAACGCCAGTGTTTCAAAGACATAGTTGTACCCAATATCTCTGCTTAAATATGTGGTGATCACGTATTAGATATAACGCCGCAAAATGAACATTAATGCATATTATCTGCTTCTAACAGAAACAAAGCATCATTCTTGACTCTACATTTAAAGGAAATGACTTCATGTATCAACTGCAGATGCCGGACTGTAACGGTGAATCTTCCATTAGCTGTGACTTGTGGCCGTGAGCAAAAATGTCACTTACTGTATGCTGCTGGTCCAATTTTTAACAGGTAGTCTTTGTAACCCTTAGAATTTCTTAGCTGTTTAATTCTGATTACGTAGCTGGAGAATGTTATCAAGAGCTGCATGACATATTTTAGTCAAACAACGGTACTTACGTATTAACACCACCGCAGCTGCAGATTTGGCAGTTTTTAAGTGCCGCCAATCTACACCTAAAATTTTTACGACAAATCATAAATTAAAACACTTTATTTGAAATCAAAACACTTTATTTAAAATAAAAGTAGTCAATCGGATTTCGGTGGAAAATGGGCCGATATAGATTTTAACATTGATTCAAAACAGTCTCTATTTTCTTTGACTTGATGCTGTCGCCATATGAACTCTGTTAAATAAGATTCTAAATGATGTCTCGCTGTCCCCTATGTCTCTTGTTCCTCCATTTTAGCACTGTCTCACATTCTCTCAACTGTTTGTGTATGAACTCCTGTATCAGGATAAATAAAATTGTATTTATGATTAATTTTAGCATGTAGGAATCCTTCTTTTTCTATTCTTTTTTTTTTTTTTTTTTTTTTTTTTTTTTTTTTTTTTTTTTTTTTGGGTAACCTTTCCAACTGTCAGAATAAATTTGTGCTACCATCTGCAATATTTTAAATAATTTTATTAAGAAGGGTAGAGCCAGTTCTATTAAGAACAGTGACAACAAACGAATCTTTTGTTTCTCTACCTATACCGGAAAACACCCACTGTTCGGGTAATACTCGACCACAATTATTTTTACGCTTAGTAAACAAATTTTCATCAATTTCCACAATGCAATCTGGTCCACCTACCTTCTTGTTTGGTTTATTCTCCATATCCAAGACACATAATTCACGCATGTAATTGTTCCAATCTATAACAGTTTTATCCGATAAATCAAGTTGTTTTTTCACAAAATTTAATCGACGTCAGCTCCTCGCACCAGCAGTATATGAATCTCAAAGCTGAACAAAATGGAATTCTGCTTCCTTCAACCCAGTTGTCTTTTATAAGTCCCACTTGCTGATCGCACTGTCTTAAATTACATTTCCAAAACGTGCGTTTACCAAAATAAAATTTCATATTATGCGAACTGGTACATTTTCGTTTGTTTGGTAAAATATTTCGCTCCTGAAAAAATAAAATTGCATCTTCTTCTGTGTTTGGCAAATCCCAAAGACGCATTTTCGTAGCACTAAAAAATGGCGTCAACAATCAGCAAGCGACAAGGCAAAAAGGAATCCAAAAAGATAACTGCGTGCGAACAACAAGATAGTTCTTTATTGGCGCATTAACGCAACTTCTACTGCGGTGGCGTTAATACGTAAGTACCCAAACGGCTAATAAATCAAGCTAATAAATGGAAATCATCGCAATTCTCATAAGAAAATTCATAGTCAATATTATTGTTGCTATATATGATAGTTTTTAAAATTTTCAAATACAATCACATAAACATAATAAAAGAAAATTTCGGCCTATATGATGCTAAAAGAAATGTGCACAGTACACATGAGCTGTCCCCTCTAAAACCAGCTGGTGCGTACTGGTGAGTATTTTTCATTTAACATCACATTACTGAAGCTCTAAAAACGGCCATCGACAGTTAAAGACGTTTTCTTCTTATGTCACTGTCATTTAGAAGATTGATCAGCAGACGATGTGTCAGCAGTTTTGAGTTTCAAACCGAAGCAGTGTCATCGGAATATACTTCAGTGTTTGCTAATCAGGAATATTGAATGATGGGAGCTTTTTTTTTAATCTTGTCGTCTCTTAGAATTAAGTTAAAAACAAAAAAGTTTCTACATGAAGTATCCATCCACTGGAAAATCAAGTAAAGGTAGACGTTACGTCAGCTTATCTATCCCAATGATGGCCTTACCGTTAGTATGTCTCTTTCAAAATATGTCTACTTCATGGCTTCTTAAGTACACAGATAAGGTAACACTTTCTTATTTCTCTGTCAACAGGTTTTCTATCATTATTTGCAAGTACTATTAATAGTTTCAGTGACTTTTCCAGAAACTAATTTTGCTGCTTTTATTCAACTAGATGTACTTTTGAACTGCCGAAAAATGATGAAGTTTATATTGCATGCATGATATTGTCATTTGTTGCATTTAAACTGCACGTAAAATGTTCTGCACTAGAAGTACTGCATAATGAGTAACTACATAATGAGTTTTATTTCATCACACTTTTAATTAGCATTTCAGAATGAAATTTTTAAATGACGTTTTCATTAGTTTCAAGAGAAGCGATCGTGTTCAGTCACGTTAAAGGGAAAATTAGAGTGTAATTTTTTAACGAAAGTCGTAAAACTAATATCGATAAATATTATTCAAAATACGATCCTCCTTCATTAATGCAAGTATTGTCACAATGAAGTCAAGAAAAGAACCACACCTGTAGTGGACCGTTTTTGGTGAGAATGTATGAGTGAATGTCGCAGTTCTTTGAATCTTTTCATCGTCAAGGGAAAAAAGGCTCTCCTTTGAGAGACATATTTAGTTTTGAGAGAAGAAAGCATTCACAGGGCGACGTATATGGAAATTGAAGGGATGTTTGAATATATACACATGTGTTTGTGCTTGAAATTGTCACAACGCATGAAGACCAATACGGAGGCAGTTGGTCGGGCAATGCAACAGACGCTGGGGTTTTCGACTGAATGATGTAAAACGAAACATTAAAAATCATCTCCTTAATTCTGCTAACTAAAACTTGTTTTTTCGATCCAATTATGTAATATTTTTCAAAATGCAATAAAATTTTGGCCTATCAATTTAACAAGATTTTTAATAAAAGCATGTGTCATTATTTAATTGCTAAAATTTGTGAAACAGGAAACAAAAGCGTTATTTTGAGAATCTGGTTTCCAAAAGCATGTGTCATTATTTAATTGCTAAAATTTGTGAAACAGGAAACAAAAGCATTATTTTGAGAATCTGGTTTCAAAAAGCATGTGTCATTATTTAATTGCTAAAATTTGTGAAACAGGAAACAAAAGCGTTATCTTGAGAATCTGTTTTCAAAAAGCATTATCTTTCTGACAGCTAATCATCCGTAAACATCCATAAATTTCGTTTCTTCGGACAAGCTGAGAAAGTGTGATTAAATACTGCCATCCTTGTAAATTTAATTCCAGTAGTTAAGGCTAAACATTCTAGATTAAGGTTCGTTTACGACTTATTAATATAGAGCAGCAATTCTTAACCGGTGGTACACAAGAGAAAAATAGGTGGTATGCAAAGAAGCAAAGTATTTCTAATTACTAAATTCTAAAATTAAATACCTACCTCAACAACCTGATTAAATTTTTGTCTAACATTTGTAAATTTATGCTATCTGAGCTTTGTTCAAGGTCACTAGGAGCTCATAAACTAGGAAAATAATCAGTTTTTATTTTCACAAACATTCTTTTAACCATAGATATAATAAAATTTGTCATAAACGATGTTTTTAGAAAGAGTAATAGAAATGTATGTTGTATTTAATAGGAAATTAAAATAAGTTCCTGTAAAAACATAATAGTATCTCATTAATTCTTTCAGGCCCACCAGCGGCCGAGCGGTAAAGACGCTGAACACTGGTAGTTCGGTCTGAGGTTCGAATCCCGCGAACGGGCTGGCTGCATGGGCGTTTTCGTGGTTTTCCCCATGTGTAACGTGTATACGAGCCAGTTTCCCTTAGAAAGTCCTCCACGAAAGGCATCCCTCCCCTTAGGCAGATAGCCCTCGTGTGCTTTGCCATAACTGAATAATCCATCCAATCCATTAATTCTTTCAGAGTTGATCGATTTATTAGCATGTCTACCATTTGTGTTGCCACAATTTCTGGGCTCATATTGCCCAATTTTCAATTGCAGATTGAATCATATTTTACGTCGATTTTCTGCCTGTAGCAGCTGGTATTTTGTCTTCTTCTTTCTTCGTATTCCTTACTTTTCTATTGGAGAACACAGTCGTTTGTTTTGTAAGAACTCGTAATATATTGTGCATTTAAATATTTGTGAAAAAATGATAAAACAAACTTAAATTTTTAAAATGGAAAAATGGCTAGGATTGACTATGCGGAAAAGTGATGGTTCACAGGTGATGGATGCAGGACAATTTGCTAGCACTAAAAATGTTGAAATGAAAAGAAAACTTATTTCTACAAAATATAATTAATGTTATTTATCATTTGGGTTTACTTGGAGATAAAATGGTCCCTCAATCTCAATGTGTTAATTATACAATCAAAGTATGACGCCATCGTTTCTTAAATGACATCTAATGAATGAATGAATCTAAGCATTCCAATTTAAAGGATAAATCTGAAAAATATTTTAAGAGGAAATTATCGGAGTCCAAAAATAGTAAACAAGTAATGAAAGGTTTTGTTACTTCAAGTGAAAAAGCTTTGAAGCTAGTTACCTAGTAAGCCTAAGAATCGTCGGAGAATATTTATTTTGTGACCCTCTTCATGATAGAGCAACTGTAAATGAAATTTTCGAAGTAATTAACAATTTTATGTATGAGAATGATATTCGTTCGAATGCGTGCATTGTCGTATGCAGTTACGGAGCTCGGGCTTTAACAGGATTGGATTGGATTGGATTATTTAATTATGGCAAAGCACACGAGGGCTATCTGCCTAAAGGGAGGGATGCCTTTCGTGGAGGACTTTCTAAGGGAAACTGGCTCGTATAAACGTTACACATGGGGAAAACCACGAAAACGTCCGTGTAGCCAGCCCGTTCGCGGGATTCGAACCTCGGACCGAACTACCAATGTTCAGCGTCTTTACCGCTTGGCCGCTGGTGGGCCTTCGGGCTTTAACAGGAAAACATTCCGGTGTTATTTCTCAAATAAAGAAAGTCGCACCTGAAACTAAACTTACTCACTGCTCCATTCATGTGCAGCTTTAGTAGCCAAAATGATATCTGGTGTGTGTGTGTGTGTGTGTGTGTGTGTGTGTGTGTGTGTGTGATTATGGCAAAGCCTCGAGTGCTATCTGCCTAAGGGAAGAGATGCCTTCG